TACCAGTCGTCTAAAATTTAACTAAAAGTTTTTCTTTTAGATTTAATCTATTAAAATACTTGTTCCGTTCCTCAATTTTAACCAAGCCGATCCATTCTATTCGTTATACATTTTTTAAACTATTATTTTAATCGTTTGTTTTCGTGCCATTTCAGTAGTTTTTAATGTAAATTTCATGTAAACGTCAAAAAGTTTTTTTTTTTCAATATCTGTAAAGTCCTATATTGCAGTTAATTTGTAAATTATGCACAATTAATGTAAACACTACGTATACAATATTATTTTTTTTAATATACTTATTTTTTTTATTAAATAGACATCCATATTTTATTTTTTAGCTTTAATTGACTAAAAACCGATTATGTTAGTGATGTCATAGCAACATTTATTATATAACATCAGCTACATTAAACTGTATGCATTGTATTACGGCGTTAGGTTAGCAACTAAACATACGTTGAGTCAATCTAATTGTCCTGCAGACTTGCCTTGACTACTAAAACCGTGTTTTCGTTAATTTCTCATGGTACGTTTAAACAATGTACGGCTGTCAACACAAACTATAATATGAAAACCATTTAATACCGTATAAAAAATATGATTTTTTTTTTATAACTAATATAATATATTATCAACATAAATCGCTCCGGTTACGGTATCGAGTATAATAAATAATGAGTACTGATATATTTACTCATTCTGGTACCTGTACATACTGACTAAGTGTTAAAAAAACCTTGACACTAATACTTCTAATATTTTCAATATTATATACGGTGATGAATTGTGCAAAAGCGATTAATGGTATTCATTTTTTTGGAGAATTAACAGAAAATTACGAATATATTTCATAGATATTTACTTATCGATTCATGATGAAGGTCAATTTGAGATATAAAGTCCACTGATTTTTTGTATGCTTTTATTGAATAGTAATTAAGTTCGACGAATGAATACTAGTTAATATTAAGTATTTTATCGACGCCACAAAATATCCCTAAATTATTTGTTTAAATAAATTTAGTCTTTTTAATATGCATGCGGTAGTATAACATTTATTATGATTTAAATTGAATAACAGCGATACTATCGCACATGGAAAAAAGTTACTTATGTTTTATCTATACATGGTAAACATGTGGACAAACGTTCAACGGTGTAGTTATTTTTGCTATAATTGTGGTCAAAATTAAAATTTCGAATCGACTAAATTTAATTACATCTGCTAGCAAGTTATGTTAGGTAACAATACGTATAACTTTTCTGAATTTTGGCAAAAAACTGTTAATTTTTGAAGGAAAAAGTCTTATTTGCAATTTTAACTGTGTCATACACGTAACAGTGTTCTAAAATTAATTTTTTAATAACAAAATTCGTATTTATATGTTTTTTTTTGTTTTTTTGTTTTTTGTCGAACTATTGTCTTCATGTGATATGTCATATTTAGACACTTCCGTTTGGCGTCAAGATGGGCAAGTAATGAATAAACTTTTTGTCACCGTGACAAAAACTGAATACATTATCTTGTTGTAACTGTGGACAACACACAGGGGGCGGTTTGTCCTCGATCTACTTTAATACATTTTAATGCACCTGGTAAAATCTGTTCAAGATGAGCATTTTTAGTTACTGACGATGTCAAGGTTTTTATCAAAAAAATTGTTAATTTGTACTCATTTTTGTAATTGTTGTTTTGGAATAAACTTTATGTTACCACTTTTGATAACTCGTGACCCAATAGTTCTACATATTTTTGATGATACATAAATAATTTATTTCAAATCAACAATTTGACTAAATATTCCATTAATAGACTGAAGACATAAATTATTTCATAAACATTTATGTTGTCAGGGAAATTATGTCACTAATTTTTTTCTACCGTTATAGAATTTTATTTATAATATTTTATTATTTATTGATAATTTTTGCGGACAAACCGACCTACATTCAAGTGAGTTATCTATAAAGAAGTCCTATTTTGTGTACTTACTTCTATAAGTAAAGAAATAATATTTTATTTAAATGAAATCACAATATAATTTATTTTTACCATGCCATTATCGATGATATACGTTTTTTTTTAGAACATTAAATCGGAATACTCATTTTGTACATGCTTAAAAAAAAAATCTAATAGAAAACACATTTTTATAGAACTGTTGTTAAACGGTCTCGTCTAAACAATTATTTTTCTTTTACGATGAAAAATTATGTTTCTATTTACTTATAAGTTAAACTCCCCAAAACGTTAGTATTTAGTATCTAATAACACAAATGGCGATATTGCGAAATTATCGGTTTAGTTCAATAATAAAGTGGTCGTTCCTTAAATACAGTAATTTTCATTTGTTTCATTATCTAATAATTGATCAATTGTTTAACAAAAAAATATATTCATTAATAACTGAAAATAAATAAATTTATTTAAAGTTTTAATATGGAAAAAAAGTAAGAAAATTAAATCTTTGTCTATAATATTGTGTACCATATGAGATAAAAATGGACCCGAGAAAATTAGAAGGTAGTACACTTTTTTAGACTTAAGTCAGCAGGTTGTATCAATAAATAGAGATTATATACTTTAATTATTCTTAAAAATTACTTGAAAATATATATGTATATTTATGAAATATTTTCCCGTTGTATTTATTTAAGGTAGGCAATCATTTATATAAAAACTATAACAGGACTATTAATTCAGATGTGAAATTTTAAAATAGATACAGTTACTATTTACTAAAGATTCTAAAAAAAAATGTTTACTTTCAGTATTTTTAGTTATTATTTTAGTTTCCCTTGAATGAAAAGTAATTATTTTTAGAATTTACTATTTAAATGGTTTGTTAAATTAATACGCGAAACAAAAAAACTTAATTCTGTACAGTTACAAAATGGTCGAAATTAATTTAATAACATTAATTGCTGTAATTTTGTTGGATTTTTTTCTATTGTGTAATTCAGTTGTTAGACTTCCTGTGATTTTTTTTTCAGTAAAATCCATTGTTTACTAGAAAAAAATTAAATCTTAATTATATTTTATTTACAGAATGGTTTTTTTATTAAATTAAATAAATTATATTTTTATTAATAAAATACTGGACTTATTTTTAAGGGCAACTTTAGCGTAGGGCTCGCCACTTTTATTAAGCCTATCACTATGTCTAATTGTTATTTGAGCGTGCGTCATAATTATAGTTATTATTAACTAATTATTATATAGTTGATATTTACAAGTTCATTTGAAGAGTTTTGTTTTTGTTGTAAGGTGTCGTTAATTGTTCTATGACCTTTTGTCACTATACTGAAATGATATATTAAAAATGAATTACTAATTTTTTATATAAGTAGTCCATATGATCTGTATATCTGTTTAATCTCCTTAAACGTTACTTAGATATATACTTCAAAATAATGTACTCTATGAACCTGTGGATATAATCACCTTCAGAATTTTACTTATGTTTGAATGTTTATCGACTACATTATATTATACAAGTCGCATTGACAATAGATAACAATAAAAATGTACACCATTGTAATTGGCTACTCTTAACTCAAATGAATAAGTCTTTGTTTTTGGTCCGTGTTAGGTTTCTCATTTAAGTGAATGAGAGTAGCTGTTAATCGAACGATAAAAAATAGATATCTAGGAATTTATCTGGCCTACAGTAGAATATCAGAGTTTAAATTGTTTACTCGTTTAAAAAATATTATTTCCGTATATTTTATGTCCTTGTGTCTGTGACATACTATACCACCAATGCCCGCATCAAAATGATTTTACTACTTGATCATTAATTTAGGTCGTCCAATAATGCGATTAACATATAGAGCTACTAGATTTATACCCTAACAATAAATTTTCAACCAACAATAATAATTATTAGTTGTTAATTATTTGGAATTAGAAAAATGATTTACAGAGCTAATTGAATGCAAAAAAATTGTTTAACTCGATGATTGAAAGTGAATTTTTGAAATAATTAAATTAATTTTTTGGTTAACGTTTATTATCTGGTTTCATTACTAGATGAGCTTAAGATAAAATATAATATATATTACAAATTATCATTTTACAGTACTATAATGCGATTACGCATAGGCCGTGAGGAATCAAACGGTTCAACTCAAAAGACAAAAAACATTTTTGTAGATCAAGTCGTTCTAGTTTTACATGCATTATTTGCAATCATGTATATAAATAAATGCTTAAACTTATTTTAGTCGGTGAGCATGTTGATCGCTTATATTTCAATACTGTTTTTAAGTTTAAATAGAACATTTAAAATTTATTTCTACAAATATAAATAGTAATGACTGAGATTTTCAATATTATACTTAAATTTTATTGAAATTATAGGCAATTGGTGTTTCAATTGTCATTCCTTTAAATCTTAGCTGTTTGAAATCATATTATTAATATCATTCGTAAATGAATGCATTTGCTTACATAGTAAGGGTTGGGCATTTTGGTCTAAAAATTGCACGAGAACAACACGAGTTTTATTCAATGGGCCTGTTAGTGAACCGTAACTTGGTTGTTAAATCTTACCCTAAGGCATTTCTTTATTTTAATTTCACGTGGTCGTCGCTCATCTCCATTACCCCAATCGAACGGATGTCTGTGTTTTTGTGGTAGGGGAAACGGCATGCTCATTTTATGCATATGCGGGCGATTGATTTACCGAGAAGGAGTTTGACCTCCGACATTATTTTAATTTCGGATTACATTTGAAACGATAAATAAATTTATAGGAAATTAAATATTTGATAACGTTATCGTAGCGAGATATTCTTAAGAATGCGACAAAATGATGTTTGTCCGTTGTGACACGATTGGCCGGCATGTTTAAATAGGATGGTGACACCTCGTTATCATATTACTCCGGTGTAAGCGTAAACTGTAGTAGTGTGTAATAATATTTCAGTGAGTGTACCTTGTTGCACTTGTATGTATGTACCGTGACACAGCGGCAATCGCGCACGGTGTGCCCGGGAACAGCTGCTTTTGTGCCGGTGGGGATAGACGCGGCACAGCTGTTCCGCGCGAAGACAACGCCGTAGTCGCCGCAGCATAATATACAACAAAAGAACGCCGTACTGTTTGAACGCAACGGATGGATAGAGAGAGGACTGGCAGAGCGTTCAGTGTATGTCCGTCCGCCGTCGGCGTCTGTCGTGCTGTCTGTTTGCCGGGTACGTGCGCTCGCGCGTGTCAGTGTGTTTGTTAGTGTTCGTTTTGAAATAATTTCTTGTTAATTCAGTTAGTTTATTGTTTTTAACTCTTTGATTTGTTTTTTATCCGTCGGTCAACACCACCTCTCAGTGTTTTTGTTTTCGGCCGACGACTTAACGACCGGTGTCAACGAGCTCTCAACGGTAAGCCAGTGAAAAACTTAAATATTATACAATATCAATATTTTCACATGTGGACACGACCGGTTCGAGGAAATCTGTGTTAACCATGACGTTTTTCTTTGTTTCTTGTCAGTTTTTTTTGTTTTTTTTTTTTTTTACAATAATATTTGTAAACTGTGATAACCAATTCAAATAAATCCGTGAAGATAAATAAACAGCCTTTGTTTTTTCCATTCCAAAGTTTATACGAAATCAAATATTGTTCATAGTCTACATTTATATTAAAAATTCGTTTTGCTCGTGGAAAAACTTGATATTTTTCCACCGGTTGTAGAATCTGTTGGTTTAACAAGTGCAAGCGTAGAAATTGTAGGCATCCTTGTCGTTGGTTCTTTGCGTCTATTGTATTTTTTTATCGTGTTATGTAATTAAAGTCCTGTATTTCGACGAGCTAAAAGGTGTAAAGGCATATTTTTAGTGCGCGCGCACGCACAACAGTAAATACAAAGTAGTTTCTTAACCGATTAAAATATCGCCGGCGTGTAGAATTCGCACCGCAGACGTCTCGTGGACACGAGATAAAAAACATATTTAAACCGCCATTGTTCACGTGGACCTCCGGTCGAGGGTATGAGTATGTGTTCAAAGCGGCGGACCTCCCCACGTCGCAACGGTTTCTGAATTCGAAAGGGTTGTCCGAGTGTATAGTATTGCATAGTTGTGTAAACACCGCAGTGAGATTACGTGTCAAGGCCTTGACGAGCAATGAACATGCAAATTTCGTTCAAGTGCACCGTCGATCGCGTTACACGGGTCCGTTGCTGGAGACTGCGTTCTTCGGTTACCGCGTGTAGAACAGGAATTCGAAAACGAAAGTCAACCGAAATTTCACAACGAGCACGCGTTCCAATCGTTCGTGATATCGCTGTGTAATAACACCCTGTAGTTGACCGATGGGTAATGATATCGTATTTTCACGTTTACATCCATTTACTAGCGAGTGCAATTAATTAACAGCGAACACATCAATTTCCCGATAAACGACTCGAAACGGAGATTTGAAATTGTTGTAGAATTTGATTTCTCTGATTAATCATTATTTTTCTCCTTTAATCGCTCCATAGATAATCAATGCTGCTCATTGTTCTTTTTTTTTTTAGCTATCATAAAAGGTGTTATTCACATACAACTCTCATTCCGTTCATACCTATCTTTATACTACTTAGCATATTATTTCATTCCGCGCGGTAGAACGAATGTATAAATATAATTAAATTCCATTTCATGGGTTCGGGATTATCGCTTTCGATTATATTTAATTCTTGTGTGGTTTTTTTCCCGAGTTTGTTCATGACCCAGATGCCTCAGACGTGTTATGGACAAAAAGTGAAAACCGTCGAGCCTATCGGTTTCAGGTCGGCCGCGTTTAAGCTCGTCAACGTCTGGTGCGAGTTAATACATTCAAACGAGAGACGTGTGTTTTTTATCATCCGATTCTGCTGTCTCTAGTCGTGTTTTTCTTTCTTTTGTGTGACCCGTTTTCCCCCGAAACTTGTCCAAATAAAGAGCCGCTTAATCCGGCAGTGTAATTTCCAGTGTTTTATTTCATAGTATTTTTAAAACATTCCAAATTCATTTGGTTTTATCATCGTTATCTTGTTTTCAGCTCAAGTCGGGTAATTTTTCATCAAAAGTGTCTCATAACGGCGTGGTGCATTGTTAATTAATTCTCGGCATCGATTATTTTTATCTTTTTTTTTTTCCAGTTATCTAGTAACGAATGCGTAGTATCGATAATCGTTTCTTAATACCGAATCGAGTAATTAGAATAACTGCGCTCAAATCGGACGCAACTTGGTTGGGTTTCATAATAATATTGTCGTTTAAATACGACCTCGAGGTATTGTGAAATTAGCTAATAGGTAGGCCATTTGGTTGTTGTTACACTCGATTATTAGTTAGTAAACTATGATTTTTTTATTGTTCGAAACGTTTTATTTGTTTATTAAACAAACACAGAGTTTCTTGAACCCACGTGTACCGCACTGAGAATATAAACAATTTTTTGTGTTGAACATTTTTCTAAAATGTCTTTATCGTGTACCCGACAGCCGGAGCCGTAATAATGGGCGTAAAATGAAAATTCGTTATTTCAAGTACCCGGGGAAAGCGACTCTGCTGGTGGACGGCCTGCCATCGGCTCTGAAACAATTGGAGTTGGACAGCGAGGCGACGGAAGACAAAAAGGCAGAACTGATGAATTCGTACGAAGCGAGTTGGCAGGAATGTCGTCTGAAATGGTGTTTGCGGTCACGGAGCAAAGAGCGTCGTCATCCGTGGGAAATGGCGGACGACGAGCCCGTGGAAGACGACGACGAAGAGTACGCGGGCGGCAGTTTGGGCAACGGAACGGTAAGCCGTAGGAATCCGTCAGAAAAACGACAGGCCAGCAGTAGCGACATCAGCAACAGTAGCCAAGAGGAACATTTCGATGCGTTGCATACGCAGTCGTCGAGGCGACCCAGAGCAAAGCCTTTGAGCCGCGTGCAGAGTGTACGGCAGCCGGAATCGGTTACCCATCGGTACAGGACGAGACAACGAGTGGCCGCCGAGATGGTGGACGAACAACGAGCGGCCACCGCCGCCCGAGACCTGTGTCGTTCTTCAGCGGCCAAGATAAAAAAGAGTCTTTCCTTTAGGAACCCGGCACCCAAAAAAGTGGCAACGGGCAGCGACCGTTTTCGGTGTTCGACCGCCATCGACGACAACGGTAATGATCAACATTACCAGCATTACCACCACCATCGGTTGGCGTGCACCGCTCCGGCCACTGCTGTAGAGGTCGGCTCGACCACCGGGTGTGCGGATGCGGCCGACGGCCAACAGCAACAAGACAACTTCGCCATTCCTAGGCCGAAACTCATAGTTCCTGTTCACACGTATGGTCTCAGAAAACGGCGGACGGGTAACACGATCTCAACGAACAGAACGGCCAGCGACGTGAATACCGGCACCGTGTCGTCGTCGACATCGGCGTCCAACAATTGCGGCGGCAGTTCGACCGACTCCAAGAAGCACCACAATTCCTGTCCAGGTAAATAACATCAAATCCTATACTACAGCAGCACGTCATGCGTTAAGGCGTGTTTTACTTACGACTGATAAATAACATTATTTGAAAAGAAAAATATTCGTAATGTGATATAAACGGCTTTTCCTAGGTGGTGTCCTTCGACGCGACTCCAAACTATATTACTACTTAAAAATTATAAAAAATTCTCTGTTGAAATCAATTATCGGCGTTACCCGATTATATTGGTGACTGCGGTGTAATACCGGTAGGCGCCCATTAAAATTAATTTATTGTGTTATCGGTTACTTCTACGCGCAATGCGTTCTTTGTATTATTTACCGTGTGACAGCCTTCGCCGTTACGTAAAAACAAAGTTATAAAAACATTTCGAAAAGTACATTGGTATCGTCATCGGTGCTAAAATTTAATTATAATGACAATGTTAATAAACAGTGTTGAGTATCACAAAAACAATCGTATACTAGTCAACCTTCTCGAGACCAAGTCAAACCACCGAGTCGATTTAAAAAAAAAAACATTTATTCCTACAGCGGTCAGTGGGCAATGGAAGTAGTTACTATGAGTTATCATGCGTTTAACGCAACGTTACGAGGGTTTAGATAAAGAAAACACTCGACCGGCGCGAAGTGTCTGTTGACACTGTTCAGCAATAGTGAATCGGAGTGTGTACTATAATAATTTTACAGTTTTGGAAACCGTGTCGGCATCGTTTCTATACTTTGAAAAAATACAAAAATAATTGAACCGTCTGAATTGAAACTCCTCGCCGGTATAGGTGTGTTCACGCGATTCCAGGCGTATACCGATGTGGGTAAATGATCATCACCTTACACTTTCACTGTAAATAAAATATGTGTACGAATACACTTACAATTAAACGTCGACTAATCGAGACTAAGTAATTGGGTCAATTGTTTGGGCCGTGACGCCAACCGCGGTGTGGAGGAGACCGCGTTTCGTTCTCATCGGTCGTTGAATGTACCAACGGGGTAACCAATTATGTATTCTTTTTGTACCACGCGAAATCCAATTCTCAGGCCTTATGAATAAAATATTTGAAATTAAAAACAAAATTCGCTTTCACTGACAATTACAGTTTGAAATGCACTCGACGGTCGACCGTGTCCGATCGATTCCAACGATGCTCATCTTCCTTCAATCGTTTTAATGACGTTTTGATGAAATTAAACTCGTAGTAGACGATCGGGTCATTTTTTAATGTTTTCTTCGCATCGATTTGTCCAATGCCGCCGATTATTTTGTCTTTTTTTTGCTTTGTCTTAGATTAAGAACATCAACATCAAGTGTTTACTTAAACAATGTTTATCTTCTTATCGTAAACAATTTTTTTTATACCTAACAACTCCAAGAAAAAATAAATATTATTGTTATGTCCTATTACTGACATTCTGCTTGGTTTTTTTGTTAGCAACCATTACTTATTATGATANATTTTTTACGCCTAACGACTCGAAGAAAAAATAAATATTATTGTTATGTCCTATTACTGACATTCTGCTTGGTTTTTTTGTTAGCAACCATTACTTATTATGATATGAGGTCAAATCAAACTATTATTGACAATTGCGAACCACAAAACATAAAATGTCTCGTGTTCGTTCATCTATAGAAAGTTAAATGTATCGTTATCCGAAACCATAGAGTAGTACAACTGTTTACACTCGTCAACGACAACACTCGATATTGCGACTATGTAGTAGTTTACCGTATAAATCAGTTGGACAAAGCCGAGTGTTTATTTATTTAGGTCAAGTCAAACCGAACATTGTAGACTATATTGTATATTTGATTTTTAAGTTTTTTCAATCGTCTACTGTTGAATGTTATGCGGTCATGTGACCGACAAATAAAATGCCACTCGTATAGGTCAGAGGTTAACTTGGAACTTCGTTAAGCCCTGTCGGTCTTGTCCGGGTGGTCATGTTGGTGCGATCGATACGATAATATTAATGGTCTGACGAACAAAAACTTACCTGAATGCCAAATGATACCTGAGAGTGCCACGTTACACTTCACGTTTAAACTCAAAGCCCTATCGATTCAAAGTCGTCAGAGGGCTGTATAGATTGCGGGCAAACGGCGTTTTTATATTGTCGTCTCGGTAGGTCAGGAATGAAGAGCTGTAGTCTACTTGGCTAATTTTGACGGTTTCGCTGTTGACTCAAGAGTTACCACACGGATTCGTTATGGTTTTTTGATTTTTTATTGCATGCTATGAGGTTTTCAGTATGGTTCGGACGAATTAACCAGTGATAATTTTTACGAGTAAAAACTTCTCATCTGAAGGCAGTTGTGACTAATAATTGCTTCATAGTCGTGTGGAGGTCGTATTCCAAGCCGTGATGTTGTTAGAAAGTGTTGGCCTTGATCTTCTCTGTGCGTTTAGAAGTTCGCCAATGCGTATCCATACTAAATTATCAGGTCCGTATATTCGCTATTAGTACTAATAAATAATATTTTAATTTATCGAGATAATTTTTCATCGAGTTCATAATTAAATTAAATTTATTTTTTCCTTATTTTATCAGATTTTTACAAGTATAAACACTTCATAGCTGCACCGGATAAAGAATTTAAAATAAAATTCTAATGTGTATCTATTAATTTTAGTGTTCATTCACACACGTGTAGGGTTGTTAAAACAATGTTTTAAACAGGTTTTTTTTTTAAATAACTTTGCACATAAACGTACATTACCTTAGGAGTGTTTACGCCAAAGACTAATTATCTATTTGNCAATTCACACACGTGTAGGGTTGTTAAAACAATGTTTTTAACGTGTTTAAAATACCAAAAATTTTACATTGGTCTTATGGAACGTTTCAAACTGTTTACTTGTGTTTTGAACAGGTTTTTTTTTTAAATAACTTTGCACATAAACGTACATTACCTTAGGAGTGTTTACGCCAAAGACTAATTATCTATTTGACTTTTTTAGGTCTTATTAAATATTTTGGTTAGTCGAGTGTCACCATTGCGTTGTCGTTAATTGATTATTAAACTACGCTTCCGGCAGTGACATTGTGCTCTGGGTATCTGGGTGATTTACATAGTTTTCCACCGAGTCTTTTAGTTGACAATATTTACCGAAATTGTTCAAGGCCAGTTATGAGAGAGTTGCACAACGTTCTACCAACTGTACTCGTGATGTTTAAATTCAGGATGTATAACCGATAAGAGTACCCGAGGTAAAATCTCACAATGCCGTTTCGTTTCATTTGTTTAATAGTTTTCTCTGTACCGTCGTTTAATTATTATAATTCACATTTGACCTCGATGGGATCAACAGCTTTTCACGGGCCCGCGTTTGAAACAACGATGATGTCGATGAGCGCTGATACATTTGACATTCGACCACGACCGATAGCTCTTGCGCAACAAATTAACAAAGGTGTACATGTTTTATTCCTTGTCGTTCAATTGGTTAAGTGAATGCGGAAATGTATTCTCACTGTAGCCGGCTGGACGTGCACTTGATATCGTTCGATATCAATGTTGTTGTTTATCTAGTGTTTTTTAGTTCATAATATTTTCGGTCGTATAATTAAAAATGTATTCGTAACTCGCAATTGAATACAAAACGCGCAACGCTCAGCTCGTCGTTACGTTAAAATTCGATTGCAATTTACTTCCTGATCGATAGACTTTCTCTAAATTTACTTTTGGACGTACCGTAGTATCATATAGAAGCATTGGATATTTGGTAATGTTATCGGTTTCACCGTAAAAAATAATAAATAAATGTGTTTAATGTTAACGTTTCGCCGGTTATTTTGATCTCGATGTAATTTAACGAGCCGAAAGAGAGAATCGGACGGTTCATCAAATAACGTGTTGTCGTTTCATATTGTCGCGTCAATATGTGCGTTTTGTTTAAAAAAAGCGTCGAACTTTCTCCGCGCCGTTTTCCTCTAATCCGTTCGGCATTTGCATATTATTCGGATAATAAGCGTCGCCTTGATACACTTGCTGTTGTTTGAATCTCATCGATTTTCACCGCACGACTTGGCCCATCATCGTGTTATCGGCTGCGTCTATAATAACAACAATAAAACTTACTTTTGTTTGCGTGTAACTCGTTTGTTTGTACGAGGCCAGTGACGGTTTATAAGTTTTCATTGTACCGTGACGACACGTTATGGATTTAGGTAAAGATTTCAGGGCAAAAATCCCCGTCTATTACATAACGCACTCTCCGGTATGGTAATGTGCTGTGTTGCGATAACGAGCCAAAACACTCCACCACGACGTACACAATACCCTCAGCGGTACGGGCGAATAGTGTAATCGAGCACTGCCTGCGCTCTCCGGTCCACCGCCCCCGCCGCTTATAATCGAAACTCGCGTGCAAAAGATGTAGCGGCTCGTCCGTCCGGAGTTCCTAAGCACAGCAACTATGACTTATTGTTTCCCAATAACGGAAAACGCATCGACTATGAAACCCGCCGCCGCCGCCGCCGCCATTGTTTCGCATTCCACGGAAAACTAGTTCGGCAATGTACGAGTTATTACTAGAGAAAACAAATTTTTATTACAGCAAAATGGTGCCTTTTTTTTTAACCCGACCGACTTTGTGTGCACTTAAACGCACAACAACCCGTCAGACGGTCGTAAAAATCAACACGATCAAAGTGAAAACGCTATCATCGTCGACAGGATGCGTTTTCTATAAAATCTTCCTTCTTGACCTTTTCGTTGGCTCTGTCTGGAACAAGTCGGAGAAATTTTATTTTATCGCCTTACCATATTTATGAAAGAAAAAAAAAATTTATAGCTATTATCACAACTACTCTGCGCGAAATTTCTGGGTCGCCGCGATTCCTGTCGTTAATTTGCTTGCTCTCCTATCTGCCTTTCATAATTATCGTGCGCAATAAATTTGTGCACAATAATTATCTTCTGTGCAGGTTACCGCGATAACTTGTTTTGGCTGCTGCTGTCAAACACAAATACAGTGTTTTGTCGTCCGTTCAGAAAAT